CAAGGTCGCGATAGAGGAGCAAATGGCTCAATTCACGGAGATGGTGAAGCAGAAACTCGAGGAGGGCGGCGTGGACTCGACGTTAGAAGGTCAAACGCTCGCGATGGTGATATCATGTATCGCTTTCGTGGGAATGATCATGTGCAAGTATCTGAAGGAGGAGGAAGAGGAGGAAGAGCGGGCGAGAATCCAACAGCGAGAGCGGACTCTACGGATGAAGGCGCAACAGTCGTTCCGCCAGCGATTGGCATCAAAAGGGTGCTCGGTCGTGAGGACAAGGTCGGGCAACTCGCTCGAGAGCAGCAAGAGCGTCGGCGCGAACGTGACCAGCTCAGGCAGAATCAGCAAGCCACAAGTGACTTCGACGCGGCAGTTACGAGCGCAGAATGGCGTAAAATCGACGGCAAGCATACCGCCAAGATGAGAGAGCGGCCCAGCGACTTTGTTCCAGCGTATTTTCAGGAAAACCAATGGCAAATGCATCGCAAGAAGGACAAGGTGCGCCGTCGTGTGGCGATTCAGAATGAACGGCACGATTATGGAGTCATGTTCCGTGATGACGTCTGGCTCGATCGAGTGCTAGCAGACCTCAGTCCTGTCACGCCTACGGATCCGGCGGCTTTCACTCCCCTCATGGAGACTGTACGCTTGCCAGATGGCGTGAGAGCAGCGTTCAAAGGCAACACGGGCGAGGCCATCTTGGAGCTCATGCAGCGGACTGGAAGCCACTTGCAGATCTTGCCTTTCCGGCACGACTCAGGCATCGCCTTGCCAGGCATGAACATTGCCGTAGACTTTCCATATGCTACGGGCTTTCAGTCATTGTCGCTGTGGGGTACGCCCGCTCAGAATGCCGCGGCCATCGATCTGCTGCCCACGTTAGTGGATGCGATTGCGCTTGGTGATCCAGGTGCAAGCCAGAATATAAAAGATTACACGTATACGACAGAAGCGACGAATAGGCTTGGCTCACTTGTCGTACCTCCTGCTCGTGGTCGCGGAGACGGTATCGAGGGTGTAGACGCTGCGTATTGGCGAGAGCAGGATGAGCAAGCCAATGCAGCAGAGACGTCTGAGGGCGAGATTGGGGTCACTGCAGAAGATGTTAACAGTGATGGAACGACGGCACCGATCAGAGCCTATTGGCTTTACACTCCGCCAAGCTTGGAGGCAATAATCCGCCAGAGGAAGGAAAATGCTGCAGAGGACGCGTCGAGCTTCTATCCACTGGCTAATTGGACGATTGTTGCATTCACGGATCACATTGAGACGCTTACAACTTTGCCACCACGCCTGATCCGCCGCGACATGGAGCACGGTACTCACGTGCCAGGTATGCCGCTAATAAACATCTACAAGCAGCAAATAACGAACGAGTTGCTGGCTTGCTTTTACCACGCCTCAGCATCATCTTGCATCAGCAGCGAAGCAGTCAACCTGGCACTGAGCTTCTTCGTCAAGCATAGCGACTATCCTGCCATTCGGCGACTTCTGGCGCGCCTGCAAGAGGACAATACGTATGCGCTGAAGACTGACAACTTTGACGTCCTCTTGGCCGCCGCGGCAGCGAACGAGGATGTTCACAGCTTCCGGCTGGTACTTCTTGACATGCTGCGGAGGGGTCTTGCGCCTTCGTCACGAACGTGGGTGAGTCTGCACCGTCTTGTGCGCCGCCGTGCCACCGGTACCGAAGCTTCTCGACGAGTTCTGGGTGTCATGCAGTCAAAGGGAATGTTCGGTAATCTTGTTATTCTGCAAGAGGTCGTGAAGGACATTGTCGAGCTCGACCTTACCGCCTACCTCAGCAACAGCCGCAATGGAGAGATCGCAACCTTGGATGCTTTTGTGAAATCGTATGACGACCTCTTCCGTCCAACACATGGGCGACTTGCTGCTCGGCGGTCGTCGGCAGAGAACTTCCGGCCGTGGCTCACGAACACAACAGCGAATATTATGGCCAAGGTTCTGCTGGCTCTTGGTCGGACGGAAGACGCTCTATCTGTAATTCGCATGCTTGAGGACTGTGGCGAAGCGCCAAAAGTGGACACACTCAACACCTTCCTGACTGCCGCAGGCCGTGCGCGAGACACTAGCTTTGTCGTCAGTGTACTGAAGCGCTTCGGGCCATCCATAGCTGGGCCGGAGAACACGGTACGAAAGGCTATTCGGCTTGACAAGCTTTCGTATGCCCTGATGTTACAGGCTGCGTGGGGACAACATTTCTTCAACATGCTGAGGGTGATTTGGAGGTATGCATGCTGTGCCGGAGAGGTCGAGTTTGAATGGCAAAAGCGGATGACAAGCTCGTTGCTTGCTTACGTGCCGGGGAGAAATCAGACGCAACGGGAAGGCGAGAGGTTGGCCAGTGAGGTCGCAAGTCTATTGAGCGATTTCAAAGCGAAGCGGAAGACCTCAACGAATGATGTGGCGGAAGATCAGCAGCAAAGTAGGGGTGGGTTGTGGGTCGGATGGGCAGGCAAGTTTGCAATCGGAGTGGCGGATGGCCGTATCGACCGGCCGTCTGAAGACGCGCATACTGCTACAGTTCTCTCCCTAGCTGCTCAGCCTCGCAGCGAAATTACCACGAGGGCTTCCGACGACGAAAGAGGAGCTCCCGCTTCACCGCACAATGACCGCAAGGCTCGATTGAACGCTCTCCTCAGAGACGACATTGATTATTCGGCCCGCTTTTATCAGCCGACGATTCCGTTGGTTGAGATGCTGGAGCAGGCGTGGAAGATTGACATGACGTGGAAGGCAGAAGGCTTGGGAACACTGAATGATGACATGCGGCAGGTGGCTGATCATGATGCTATGGAGGTGTACACCAAGATGTTCGGGAAAATGCTCGATAAGGGTATCGAGGTGCCTGTTAGGAAAGCGATCGGATTGTAAGCGACTCTGTAAATATTGACATGCATAGCGATGGCGTTCAGGGGTGGCATCATGAAGCGCATCAACAGCTGGATTACATCAAGCTGGTGTATTATATGTCCATATGTACAATGTTGATCTCCAACGTAGAGCAGACGACGAAAGCACATCTGACGTCGGACATTCAAAGAGATTCTGTCGTGCCTTCCACTTTCGTCCAGAACATCTTCAACTCGACTTACCACAACTTGACATCAGCAACACACCTCAATCACTTCGAGAGAACATTCACATCACCATCTTCTTCCATTTTGAACCTTTCACATCCCACGATCACGATCCAGAGTTTCGAAAGCTTGACCAAACGAACTTGAGACAAGTTTCCCGACCGTGTAAGTGCTTGCAGAAGTGAGCGCGGCACGCTGCGGAAGGGACAGAGTTTTGTGCTGATGATCTCTTGCATAGTCGAAGCACAAAGCGTGCATCTTCCTGGAAAACACGATGTCAAGCATGACAGACACCTCGCGAGCTGTCGAAGATGAAACAGTGGGTGCCTTGGATCTAGAGGTGAATGAGAAGGTCATGCTTGTGAAGGCAGAAGATGAGGAGCAGAAGCCTGTGCTGGGGAAGCAGGAGACGCCTCCTGAAACTGATGAGAAGGAGGCATTGGCCAGCAAGCCGCATGCACTTTCAAATAAGCAAACCGCGCTCTCAGATGAGGAAGAAGCCATTGACTATGGCGAGATTGCTCTCTCGGAAGAGAAGAAGGCATTTGAGGTCGTGAAGGCGGCTTTCGAGGCCGAGAAGGCTGCGTTCATGGCAGAAAGAGCATTGCGAGCTCCTCGTCAGACCGCGGACTGCGCTACCCAGACCGAGAAAGTGGAAGTGAAAGTTTCAATTCCGAAGCGAAAGGCTGAGTTGACCTTGGAGACAATGGACGAGCCCAGTGCGAAACGCCAACGGCTCATCGATGAAATCCTCGCGGCGGAGCTCGAGAAAGGTGCCAGCAGCAAGCGATTCCCAAGCCCCGAACATGAAGTGGGATGCGATCTGGGTTATACTTGGTCTCAGGTGGCACAGCATGTGCGAGAGCCTGACTCTGCCTTTGAGCTACCGCTGCCCAGCTATGTGGGCGTCGAACGTACAGGGACTGCACCGAGTCCTGCTTCTGATGTCCCAGCAGCACAAGCTCCTGCAGGCGCGGATCGTACCGAGGACGACGACTACACAGGACAGACTCGCATCCCGGCGCGCAACCGGAAGCGACTCACCAGATCAGAGATTAGTGAACTGTGCCAGTTCATCTTCGTCAAGGTTGCCGGAAGGCGGCGATACTTCATCACTCTTTCGAAAGAAGTCCAAGACCGTATCCTACAAGATGTGTATGCCTTCTATCGCAAGAGCAACAAGAATTTCCTGAAGATCCTGGAGAGCCCGTTGCAGTCTGCGTCGAACAAAAGAGTTTACTGCGCTGGCTGCCGGGCGAACGCGTTGATTGGGGACATCAAGATCGAAGGGCCGGCATGTGGCAGATGTCAAGCAGGAAAGCGCTTGTCCATTCGTGTCACGGACGATGGGAGTGCGGATCCGGAGCTCGTTCCGTTACCAGAAGAGAAGCGAGCAGGACTAGGCCCTGAAGATCTCGGCTACTATGTCGTGAGGTGAGGAGGCCAAAGGGCAGAGAAGACCGTGATGATCTCGTGTTTGCCGTTAAAGGGTGGTGGTAGCAGAGTTCGAGCAAACAGCATTGGAGTACTTCACTATAGCTAAGATGCAATGGAAACAGCTTCGCAACAACGAAACGAGGATGTTATGTTCTGCGCCTGCATGAACACCACGCGTGGCCATTCAGATCTCCAGGAAGCCAGATGTATCTAAGCGACTGTGTTGAGAACGCCGGGCATCGTACGCCTGCCTGTGGCGTAGCTTGCCGCCCAATGTCCCTGTCGTTCCGGAGTCCGCTTGGCTGCATGATAGCTTCATATCCTCGTTGTGCGTCCGAACCCAGTCTTGTTGTTGCACGCTCACGGAGTATGACTCCTTGCCAGCTGAGTCACTATGGCCTATCTGCGGCTCTGAACGTCAACCTTTATTAACGAGCTTGTTGTTTTGGAGGCTATCAAACAGATTTCGTAGTGTAGTGGTTAGCACGCAGGTCTCATGAGAGTTGTGTGTTGCACATCTCGAAGAAAATCGGCAACCCGAGTTCAACTCTCGGCGGAACCTTTTTGGCAAGAGTCCAGCTCGCTGGGCACCAACTGATATCGGCACACCTTTCCAGCCCTTTTGTGCCATAACAGCTTCAGGCTTGTTAAGCTTTGGCTCCCTTTTAGCACGTCTCTGGTCCGTGTGTTTGACTTCAATATGACTCCTTCCCAATGAGTCACTATGGCACGACTGCGGCTTCGCATGTCAGCCCATGTTAATTTCATCATCTGTGCAAGTGGCATCAGCAGGTCCTGTAGTGTAGTGGATAATCATGCCGGTCTAATAAGAAGTGTGTGGCGAGTTCATCGTTGCACGCCTCGAAGACAGCTGGCGACCCGAGTTCGATTCTCGGCGGGACTACTTCTTTTGGCAAATATTATGTCGCTGTTGCGGGCCTCTTTTGGGCTACCATGGTGAGAGATCCTTGCCGGCAGCGTAAAAGAGCACTTGGCAATGCAAAAACACCTGGCCTCTCGAGCAGCCATGGGTTTTGGGACCATCGTCAAGGTCAGACGGCGGTCCTGTCGCTCGCTAAAAGGGATCTGTCGTCAGCCCGGCCCTAGATATACCGGAAAGTCATTCGTGCAGGTTCATTTGAAGCTTCGGTAGGGGTCCTGCACCACGCACATGTAACAGCGTCCAGGGTTACTGCTTCGTTGAGTCGATGTGGTCTTGACGGGAACGTACTTCACTAGGGACTACGAACACTGTGGTTAGCTCACAGATAAGGTACCTTCTCCAGCTCTCTCTTTTTGCACGTTTTGAGTGCCACACGATTTTTCTCCCGTCGGCAGGTGGAGTGAGGGGACTGGTTGTTCGCTCTTTCATAGCTACCTCCTCGTCGCCACACCAGGCGACCAAGCAGCTGGTTGCCAGTTCTCGCCAGCATTGCCTTTCGGTTGCTGCTGCTCCCATGGTGCTGCCTCCCTTGCCCTCGGCTTCTCCTTCGTATTACCCTTGAACCTCCCTTCATCTACCTCCCTACTGTCTATACCCTCCGCAGCCTCCACCTTGGCCTGGTCTTCAACCGCGCTGATCACGCCTTGCTTGTTCTCCGGCTCCGTTTGCGGCGCATACCCTCCAGGGTCCTTCGGCTGCATGGCAGGTAACGCCTGCTGCTTATTCGGCGCATCCAGGAAGGAAGGCACGCTCTTCCACCGGTCATCCGCCTTGTGAGCTAATTGCTTCATCATGGCTTGTCGACTGACCTCGAACTGCTGTTCCTGGATCGATGGTGCTTCGGGACGTGTGTGGCGCAGCCATTGATGCCATTGTGCTGTTCATACCATCAACACTGCTCTCTCTTGCCATAGCTATTACATACGCGTTATCTTGACATCTGAGTAATATGCTTTCGGCGAATACCTCACAATCCTACGCCATCGATTCGCATGCAGCGCATCCTTGAACACCCAGAACGTGTTACCGGCCAGATCTGCGCCAACCAGGAACTGTTTGCGCCATGGCAGATGCAATGCTTTCCACTTATACCAGAGATTTCGGAAGAGGCCTGGGGCTTTCGGCGTCGACATTAGCTGTGTGGATGCATCTTTGAGGCGATCATTCGCGACATGTGAGGCGTCATGGCTGCATTTAAGGTTGCGCCGCCTGCCGTCGTGGCTGGACCAGGATTCCGGAACGCATGACGTGTGCGGGACAACGGCTGGTGAAGATGTGGGAGTGAGTGCCTTCTCGACACATACACGAACAACCACTCTCACAACAACACCGCAAACATGGCAGACTCGGAGATGGAAGCCTCGCTCAAACCTATCATCGACCAGAAGTCGCTAAAATGGATCTTTGTGGGCGGCAAAGGAGGAGTAGGCAAGACGACAACATCATGTTCGCTCGCCGTACAGATGGCCAAGGCACGTAAGAGTGTGCTCCTCATCTCCACGGACCCGGCGCACAACCTGTCAGATGCGTTTGGTATGAAGTTCGGCAAAGATGCTCGTCCGGTCGTGGGAGTAGAAGGACTATCAGCCATGGAGATTGACCCGAACGGCTCGATCACGGACCTGATCAACGCTGGTGGAGACGATGCGCAAGAAGCGATGCAAGGACTTGGAGGCGTCGGCAGTATGTTCCAGGATATGGCCTTCTCCATTCCGGGTGTGGATGAAGCCATGTCCTTCGCGGAAGTGCTGAAGCAGGTCAAGGGTATGGAATACGAGGTTATCATCTTCGATACCGCGCCGACAGGACACACGCTGCGATTCTTGCAGTTCCCAACTGTGCTGGAGAAGGCGTTGGATAAGCTCAGCCAGCTTTCCAAGCAATTTGGCGGCATGATCAACAACCTCGTCTCCGCGCGCGGTGGGCTGCCCAACGGCCAGAGCTTCGACGATGTACTGAAGAAGATGGAGGATCTGCAGGCCACGATCGGAGACGTGAACAAGCAGTTCAAGAACGCCGACCTCACGACTTTCATCCCAGTCATGATTCCGGAGTTCTTGTCATTGTACGAGACGGAGCGCATGATCCAGGAATTAGGCAACTACGAGATCGACACGCACGCTATCGTGGTCAACCAGCTACTGTTCCCGAAGAAGGACAACCCTTGCGAACAGTGCAACGCGAGAAGGAAGATGCAGAAGAAGTATCTGGAGCAGATTGATGATCTGTACGGTGAGGACTTCAACGTGGTAAAGATGCCGTTGTTGGTCAATGAGGTCCGAGGTGTGGATAGCATATCGACGTTCAGCGAGATGCTTGTCAAGCCATATGAAGCGCCGCAGTAGGTAGTGAGCATGAACAAGAGGAGCGAGAGGGCAGAATGAGCGTGGCGTTGTGCGGCTGGCTTCACGTGGTAACGATATATGATCTTGTCGATACCCAAGCAACATTACTACAGAACTTTCCAGCACACTCAAGCTTACTCGCAATAGCCTCTCTCGCTTGTAGTCGGCCTCTGTTCTTAGCGTCCACTTCCGTCAAACAGCGTTCAAGTGAAGCCAAGGCAAAGCTCGGACCTGAAAGTTGACTTCACTTCCCAGGATACATCAAAAGGGAGCGGTTCCGCCCTGACTCGAACAGGGAATATCTGGATTCTTCGCAATGCGTTCCTTGTCCACGATGAGATGGCTGAAGCAATGTCATGGTTTTCGGAGAAAGTGCACTCGCCGCGAACCAGAGGTGATGACCACTTTCACTACGGTACCAATTGATATGCATCACATCTGGATGATGACTTCTTTAGTTGTGCTTGTTATGGCGTATGGATGATACCGCAGTCATACCGTATCCGCAGCGTGCCTGACCGGGGCCTTCATACACGTCGTTGCTGGTGATGACACCGACAGATCCATATAGGAGCGCATGTGCCTGCCAATCGACGTGCAGCTGGGCGGCCTCTTCGCCACTTTGGTCGCCCTGGTTCTGCTTCGCCTCCTCGCTCTCGGCCTCTCACGGCCAGGGCGGCCTTCCCTGCTGTACACATTATCTCTCTGAGAATCATTAACAATGAACAGGCAATCCAACTTCACTTCAACATACACATCACCGGAAGTTATCTCACGGGTCTTTCACAAGCAATGCAGCTTGCACATGAAGCAAGCGGATGACCATAAAGGGCTTGTATATCTTCAGGCCGTCAGTACATTCGCAACAGCGTTCGTTTCCTTATCACGACCAATATGCCTCGCCCAGGCTACGTCGTTCACCCGGATGGCTCCAAGAAGTTTGTGCAGGACAAGGCCGCCTACCACAAGCAGTACCCAGAGACTATAGACTCCACCCTTGCGGCGCACGAACAGCACCATAAGCAGAGACAACGCATTGAAGTCGAGCTCAACGAGCAGATCGCCAAGAACAAGCAGAGAAGACTGCAGAGGGAGGTTGACTCGGTTGGGAGTGGACATGCGTGTGTCGGTGGGCGGGTGCCGAGAAATTGCGATGTTTGCAAAAGCAGTTTCTTCGTGTGAGTACATCTTAGCCTTTGCTGTTTCTCCAACTGCGGCGGCATAGCTGACTGGAGCAGACCCGGCGGACCTGAGAGCACAGAGTTGCCTTGCATGACGTGCCGGGCCACGAAGACCTTGTGGGTGGATTGTGATGTTTGCCAGCAATTGAAGCTGGAACGAAATATCGAAGAGAGATTGGCAGATGCTGGATCGGTGGAAACCAGCGACGAACATGTCCTTCGCTCTTGAGCAATATGGCTCCGCTACGAATGGCGTAACTGGCGTTGTTGGGTTTGACAACTTCGAGAAGGTGGACGAATTGGTTAGCTTTCAGTCATACAAATTTGTTACAATACTCAATCAATGCTTGAATTGATCCTCAGTGACGCCCTTGCCCATTGCACTCGTGCTGCTCACACCGCCTGACACCATCCTCAACAGTTCATCGACATAGTTCGCACCGCTCCACTTCTGGTGCGTGACCACCTCCACACCCTGTGCCATCTCCGGTTCCTGGATCGTCTCACCGTACGCACGCATGCCGCGCTTCGCAAAGTCGGCAGAGAAGGCGTTGCTGATGAGCGCCGTGCTGTGCAGGCCGGCCAGCGTGATGAATTGCCAGCAGTAACCAAGCGAAGCAAGGCGGGTGATGTATGTCTCCTGCTCTTTCGGTGGCATGGCTGCCTTCCAGTTGAACGAAGGTGAGAGGTTATAGGCGAGTCTGTAGGAGAAGTGTCAGTACGCGATTTCTTCACACATCGGGAGTGATCAATACTCACTTCTGCTCCGGCCACACAGCATGCACACCATCCGCAAAGTCCTTAGCTTGCTGGAAGTCAGGAAGCTTGCTCTCCATCCAGATCAAGTCCGCGTACGGAGCGTAAGCGATTGCGCGAGCAATGGCGTATTCGTGCCCTCCTTGGATGCGGTAGTAGCCCTCACGCACTCTCGGTGAGTCCCAGTCAAAGTGAACGTCTACACCAGTCAAGCCCTTTGCAATTGCACGAGCTTCAGAGTTGCCCTTGCCCTTCGACAGCTTCATGAACTCGCTGATCAAGCCTTGCTTGTCAACGTGAACGCCTGCATTGATGGTATCGGCAACAGCCTCGTGGAACAGCTTAAGGCCTGCTTGAGAGGTCCACGCGTCTTCGATGGCTTGCAGCTCTGGTCCGTACTTGCCTGCCGCCTCAGCTGCAAGCATTAGATCGTTCAGCGGCTGGAGAGCAGGGTTCGTGGCACCAAGGATGAAAGGATGATCTCGCGGGTCAATGGAGCTGGTGATCAGAGTTGCGGCCTCAGAGTCTGTGCGAGCGATTGCCAAAAGATCGGATCCCATGATATCTGCCTGCGCGCGGATTGCCACTAAGCGGTTGATGTGCTCGCTGATGGGTACCAACACCTTTCCAGCCATGTGTCCACACTTCTTCGTACCTGGCATCTGGTCCTCGATGTGGA